TTTTTTTTTTTTTTTTTTTTTTTTTTTTTTTTTTTTTTTTTTTTTTTTTTTTTAAGAAGGAGAAAAAAAAAAAACGAGGGTATCAGATGTCTTTTCACTTCTATTTTATTTTATTGGGTATTTACAAATTATCTATCTTCATGTGTCACGTCATCTTTCGCCTCTTCCAAAATTCATATAATTATATATTTTTATTCTTAGTGTTTACCTTTTTAAGAAAGAAAAATCTTATTATTTATAATAAATACATCTTTTTACTACAAATTGTACTAAAATACCCTTGTCTCTCCTAAAATTTAATTGTAAAACAAAAAAAAATGTCCACAAATAGAAGGGTATGTCTTATATTAATCTCGATTTTGTAATCATCCCGTAAAAATCCGACACGTTGCGCTGAGTTTCTTGTCACTTAGTAAGATCATATCTGCTTTTATGATTTAATTATTTAATTAGATCTTTATGTATGAAAGAGGTTGAAAAATAAATAGATACATATTTCGACGTAAAAGAAAACGTGACACTTGAAAGGACATGCAACAATAATGCATTAAGTCAACATTTAATATTCATTTTCGGGCTAATCAAATCTATGGACAATTAAATTTAATATTTAATTATAAATTAGTCGAAAAATATTTAAATTTAAAAAATATGTATAGGTAGAGGGTATATTTGGAAAGGAAAAATGTAGCTTTGGATACTGGCTCTTCAATCTCTCTCTTCATAAGAAACCAAACTGTTTTTATTATATTGATTTGCTCAATTCAACGGACAGGATCCGATAAACCCGGCCCTTTCCACCTTGGAATCTATTCATCCTTCCCTTTCTATCCCCTCTTCTCTTTTTGCTTTCCCTCTACACGACGCCGTTTTGGTCTTCTCTTCTTCTACACGACGCCGTTTTGGTCTGCTCTTCTTCTACACTCCCCCTCTCCTCATAGTACTTTTGCTGGGCATTACCCACACCAATTCTCATTCCCATTTCCCCTCTTTGTTCCACAACTTGGGGGACACCTAATCCAGGCAATACGCTCGGGTATCGTCTGCTACAAAAAAAGAAACACAAACAATTCGAACTTGTATGACCGAATGTCCGAAACGCTCAACAGTGGTTTCTTATACTGCTATCTTTGTTGTTATATTGTTGACTTGACTAGCGACAAAAATTAGCAGTGTTCGATTGGCCACTAATTAACGCTTTCGAATCAAACGAGTAATTTGATTTTGCCCCTTTTGTTCTTTCTTCGAGATTGTTTTTCAAATTGAACTCGTATGAAACTAAGATAAAAGACATAAACTTTTTGCATTTTAGCTACGAGAAAGACAACACACTCGAATAAAATTTGCTACAAAAAACACAAACAACTCAAACTTGTACGATTCAACGTCCAAAACGCTCAACAGTGGTTCTTACAATACTATTTTTGTTGTTACACTGCTGCTTTGACTAGCAACAAAAATGAGCTGGACAGATCAAGGCAACGTTCGACTGCCTGCTAACTAACACCTTCGAATCAAACGAGTAATTTGATTTTTCCCCCCTTTTGTTATTTTTTCGAGATCGTTTTTCAAATTGAACTCGTATAAAAAAAAAAAGACCTAAAATTTTGGCATTTTAGCTATTAAAAGGACAACAAATACTTTGCCCTACCCACTTGGTACCATTTAGATTTGTGCACAGAGGAAATCCCATACTTTGTTGGGTAGAGACAGATAAGGACTCCACATTGACCCTTCAATCAATATTTCTATTTTATATAAATAATATTGATATATATATATATATATATATATATATATATATATATATATATATTCCACGATTACGATAACGAGACTACAATCCTCGATTATAATAACGTTCTGCCTCAATCACCGTCTCTCGATCAAGCAAGCTTAAAAGTATAATTGAACATGACTCGAGATTACTGTTCTTCGATAAAAATAAATAAATAAATAAATAAATTGTTTTTAGTTAATATGGGTGGGAAACAAATAAGTGTAAGTGTAGGGTCAAATCAAAGAGAGGGGAAGGAAGTAAGTAAGTCACTATTTGAAAGAGGAAGAGAGGAAAAAAAAAAAAAAAAAAAGGTGAATTATTATTGTAAAGATTTTGCAGGCTTCCTCCCAAAAATCTATGTCCCACATCCTGTCTTCTTCTGCTTCAATCATCCTTTCATGATTTCCTCCATTATCATGGACCTAGCTGTCACCCAAACTTCTTGTCTCCATGCCCTAGTATCGTCATCGATACTACTTTTACTAATCGTGTTAACGGGTCGAGGCTCGAGGCGGGAATCGAGGGTATGGATTTAACCCTGTTCTACTTACTTGAATTAAGAGTGGATGATGAAGCTGCTTGCTGCTCGTCTTCTCACATCGATTTATAAGGGTATGCAATACTATATGCGTTTTAAAATCGTGAGGCTGAGGGTGGTATGTAACGGACCAAAGTAGACAATATCTACTAGCAGTGAGCTTGGGCTCGCTTCCATCCCAAACCCTTATCCAACCATAGTTCTCGAATATATTTTAACTTACTATAGATGAAATTTAACATATTGGGTTGATTTTTTAATGATGTGAATTAATTTGCTTTTTAGGCAAATCTTAGATTAATAAGAAAAATTATCCAGCAGAGGGACCTTAATGTCACATATAAATATAATATATAGTTTTTATATATATATAAATGGTTCAATATTTGAGAGCCAATGGGGTTGAATTGATTTAACTATGTTATCTCATTGGTATCTGCCCTTCTTTTTTGTTGTTGGTTGAAATTTAGCTTTAAAAAGGACTTTAACTTGTTATTCCTCTTTAACCTAAACAATTCTTTTATTTATTTATTTATTTAATAATGTGTGGTGGGAGTCTTACCCTTTTAGGGTATCCCTTAACTTATCCATCTCCCTCTTGTGTTCCCTTTGTTTTAGGGCATTAAATTGTCCTTATTTCTTTGTCACATTTTGACCAATGTTTTCTAAAGATTTAAGCTTAGGACATTAGGTTCATAAATTTCAAATGTCTAAGCTTGCATGCTCTAAAATAAGAAAATGTTCGATTTATTTGTAAAATCTCGTATCGGGACGAGAATGAAGTACTCTTTGTAAGAGTGTGGAGACCCCTCCTTAGCATACGCGTTTTAAAAACCTTGAGGGTAAAATTGAAAGGGAAAGTCCAAAGAGGACAGTATCTGCTAGTGATGGGCTTGAGCTGTTACAAATGGTATCAGAGCTCGATATCGAGCGATGTGTCAACGAGGAGGCTCTTCCAAGAAGGGGGTAGACACAAGGCGGTGTGCGAGTAAGGATGTTGGGCCTCAAAGGGGGGTGGATTTGGTGGGGTCCCACATCGATTGGAGAAAGGAACGAGTACCAACGAGGATTCTGGGCCTTGAACGGGGATGGATTGTAAGATCCCACATTGGTTGGGGAGGAGAATAAAACACCATTTATAAGGGTAGACAATATCTGCTAATGGTGGGCTTGAGCCGTTACAAATGGTACCAAAGCTAGACATTGGGCGATGTGCCAGCGAGGAGGCTCTTCCCAGAAGGGGGTAGACACGAGGCGGTGTGCGAGTAAGGACGCTGGGTCTCAAAGGGGAGTGGATTTGGTGGGGTCCCACATCGATTGGAGAAAGGAACAAATGCCAGCGAGGATTTTGGACCATGAACGACGATAGATTGTAAGATCACACATCAGTTGGGGGAGGAGAACGAAACACCCTCTATAACGGTAAACTCGCCTAGTGAACAATAAATGTAATGTAGTTTTTAAAACCATGTTTAACAAAAGCACGAGATACCCTAACTCACATGCCATAGTATACTCGACATTTCGAACCCTAAATTGCATAAATTTGTATCGTCGTTAAGAAAACTCTGACTTTATTTTAATGGAAACAAAAAGTTGACAACTGTAGAATTCAGATCTTGTATTTGAACTTTTCCTTGTTCCCTCGATATCAATACGAACTCGGGTTTGATTTAGAAATTAAAAAAAAAAAAAAAAAAAAAAAAAAATTTTTTNTCAACCTAGACTCCCACGATTGTTTAAGAAAATAAAGAGGCAATCCCTATGATTCGCTCTTGTATGAAAGAATAAAAAACTTGGGGAAGAGAAATAGAAAAATTAAACTAAATTACTATTCCTGTCATCTACATCTAAGCAACAATTTTTTATTTTTTCCTTCATGACTCATGCTGTGGTTTGATCATACACCAACCCTTCTAACTTTCACGACAGAAATAATTTGATTTTTATGAGACAGTTCAAGTAAGTTTTATAGAAAAACAGAGAATAAATAACTTATTTTGAACAAATAGCTTTCAATATTTTGTCCCCTCAACTGTTTCGTAATTTCGACTTACAAACCCTGACAACTGATCTGGCTTTGAAAATGAAACCTTAGTATTGTATAATATTTAGCCCGCACATAATTAAGACTTGGTTCCGCTACTTCCAAATATTTAAGTGAATTAAGCCCATTGACTAGAAGCCATACCGTTTTTTAGTTGCATCATGGGTGGTTTTCTTTTCAATTGGTTGCTTTTCAAAAGGAGGGCAGCCATCACGTTTCCACCACACCTACAAGTACATTTGGGATAACGTTTAAGCTATAAAATGGTTATTGCGGAAAACAAGAATATGATAAGCAGGACTCACCCAATTATTTTCACGTTCTAATATATGCTCAATCTTCTGAAGAAATTCTTTCCCTCTTGGCGGTGTCACCTCAAGCAACTTCTTCACACGCTCCTCACAAGATTTAATTTCTTCTCTCTAAATTAAAAAAAAAAAAAAAAAAAAAAAAAGAATTTTTATCCTAAATGAATGGATGGTGTTGGACATATGGATAGAAGACAAGACAGCCATAAATACTTAAGATCTATCATTCACTACAATTCAAAGACACTATCTTCTCCAATTTGTCATGTTACAACAAAGTTCCAACATGACAACGTTATATCAATGAGAAAAAAACAATTATAGCAGACAACAATAAGATCCATCACCTGAATCTTATACCACTTTATGCCTTCTTTTTATTATTATTTTTTAATTATCGTTTTTATTCTTAAAATATTGCTCTCTATTTCCATCTGGGCCCATAATTAGGCCCATAATTCCATGGCCCAAAGCCCGTTTAATCGAAATTCTAAAAAGCCCAAAAGCCCATTTCAAAACTATTATAAAGCGTTTTAACTTTTAACTTTTAATTATTTCTCTTATAGCTGATAAATAATCCAAAATTTATCCAATACTTTTTTACTTTTTATTACAGCCGACTCTAATAATTTTTAATATTAATTCGAGTGAGAGAAAATGTGAAGTCTGACAAGGTAAATTTAAAGAGGGTAAAAGGTAAAAATAAATAAGATGCGTAAAAAAGCTGCTATTGTAAGAACTTCAACATTTTGGATTTTCGGTCAATTTTACCACATTTTTCACGTTACATTAATTAATATTATTTTAATTGTCGTAAATATTTATAATATTTTTTATTTTATTTTACGTTTGGAGGAGAGAGACAAACATAAACATGATAAGCTTTTTCGTATGTTCTGTTTCAGTACACTTACACAGCTGCTCTTCTCTGCGTGTTTGTCTATTTTTGTTTTCAATTACTTTATATTATATATATGAAATAGGAAATTACTATTATAGGCCTAATGAAAAAGGCCACTTGATTCTGGGCTCAGTAATTTAGAATTAAAGCCCAATGGGCTTCCCCAACAACAGACAAGTCAATTCTGGGCCGAAAACCCATCTTTCTATATATATATATATGTGTATCGCCCGTCTTGTAACGACCGACGCCTATGATTTGGATTAGTATTTAGAATCTAAATTCAAGCCCGGCATTTCCTGCATCCCCGACGTCATAGTCACGCATATCCGGTGTCATAGTCGCATTGCTTACTTCTTGGTTTTAGGAGTGAATACTATCCCAGTAAACTAACACAAGTCGAAGAATGTTGTAACGACTGACACCTATGATTTGGATTAGGATCCAAAATCTAAATATGAGCCCGACATATCTTGCATTCCCTGCATCACAGTCACGTTGCCTAGTAAAGACTATCCTACAGACCAACACTAGTACTTGTGGGATACTTGACCTCACTCACGCATTTTAGAAAAATTTCCAATAACTCATATAAAATAAAATTGTTCTAAACAAAACACGCTTAACTACGAACTTTCTATATATTTGGTTTAAACTAAGCAAGGAGCCATAAAAAAGAGCGAGACAAAACAAAAATTTTGGCGCCTTAGCGTTTAGGGTCGTTGTTGAAGGCTCCGCGCACGCAAGCTCGAGCTGCCCCACACTTCACTGCTTCCTTCTCTCACCGCCAACCATTTTTCATCCAAAATTTCCCCCAAGTCCAAATCTCTGCTTTCAGGTCAAATAACCATAATTCAACCTCTTCCCTCCTTCCCATTTGTTCTTGTTTGCTTCAATCATGCCGGGAACTATCCGAGTTTCAGGTAACTTTCAAGCATTTCTTCTCTGCAATCGATTAGGTTTCCTTCTTCATGGTTGATTTTCATTTCTTTCAGTTCTGGAGTTCATCGACCTTCCTGAGCTATTGTCTTCCCCAATTTCGATTAAAGGTACGCAAATTGGCTGCGTGTTTGATTCTTGTTCTTCCTTGTCTTGATTCTGAAATGGATTCGTTTCACTGCAGTTTCCATGGGTAAAACACATTACGAAACTTCGGATAAAGGAGATTTCTCATTGTAATGAAGCATGCCTCTGTCATTTGAGATGTTTGGATTTTGTGTGTGTGTTTTTTTTCCTCGCTGTGAATTGTGGCTTTCTTTTTTGTGTATACAGTCCATTGACAACGCTTCGAGATGATGTGATTCTTATAATTCAGGATGCTGGAGGGAATGAGATATCACGTGCAGGTTTGTTCTTGGAATTTGGCATATCTCTGATTTTGTTAATTTTGCAAAATAAGGCTGATTGTGATTGAAATGGTTTTGTTTTGGGGAAGGTGTTCAGGTGAAATCAATAGTTGAAAAGGGTTACTGGGATGATCTTTTTCCTCTTGAAGGAGGAGGGCGTGTGCATTTGCAGTTCCAGTTTGCTCTTAGTGAAGATGATCGCAGTCGAATTCGAATGATGGTACTCTCTTCAAACCTTATTTTTCTCTTCAATAGTATCACTTTGTTTACTGAATTCCAGTTGTTTGAGCTGTGTTATTGTAATCATTCAGCTTGTTTCACTTACTTGGACCCTTTGTTTGGCACTTTGAGATCTCAGCATAATATAACTTGAATCGCTTTTGATGTTACTCGACATCTTTTCTGTTAGGAACCACGAACCTCCACAATGGTATGATGTTGTCCACTTTGAGCATAAACTCTCATACCGATGGAGATGTATTTCTTATCTATAAAATTGTGATCATCCCCTTAATTAGCCAATGTGGGACTCCCTCCCAACAATCTTCTCCTCGAACAAAGTACACCATAGAGCCTCCCCTGAGGCCTATGGAGCCCTCGAATAGCCTCCCCTTAACCGAGGCTTGCCTCCTTCTCTGGGGCCCTCGAACAAAATACACCATTTGTTCAACATTTGAGGATTCTATTGACATGACTAAGTTAAGGGCATGGCTCTGATACCATGTTAGAAACCACGAACCTCCATAATGGTATGGTATTGTCCACCTTGGGCATAAGCTCTCATAGTTTTGCTTTTGGTTTCCCCAAAAGGCCTCATACCAATAGAGATGTATTCTTTACTTATAAGATCTTCCCCTTAATTAGCCAATGTGGGACTCCCTCCCAACAATCCTCTCCTCGAACAAAGTACACTGTAGAGCCTCCCCAGAGGCCTATGGAGCCCTCGAATAGCCTCCCCTTAATCGAGGCTCGACTCCTTCTCTCGAGTCCTCAAACAAAGTACACCATTTGTTTGACACTTGAGTCACTTTTGACTACACTTTCGAGGCTCACAACTTCTTTGTTCGACACTTGAGGATTCTATTGACATGACTAAGTTAAGGGCATGGCTCTGATACCATGTTAGAAACCACGAACCTCCATAATGGTATGGTATTGTCCACCTTGGGCATAAGCTCTCATAGTTTTGCTTTTGGTTTCCCCAAAAGGCCTCATACCAATAGAGATGTATTCTTTACTTATAAGATCTTCCCCTTAATTAGCCAATGTGGGACTCCCTCCCAACAATCCTCTCCTCGAACAAAGTACACTGTAGAGCCTCCCCAGAGGCCTATGGAGCCCTCGAATAGCCTCCCCTTAATCGAGGCTCGACTCCTTCTCTCGAGTCCTCAAACAAAGTACACCATTTGTTTGACACTTGAGTCACTTTTGACTACACTTTCGAGGCTCACAACTTCTTTGTTCGACACTTGAGGATTCTATTGACATGACTAAGTTAAGGGCATGGCTCTGATACCATGTTAGAAACCACGAACCTCCATAATGGTATGGTATTGTCCACCTTGGGCATAAGCTCTCATAGTTTTGCTTTTGGTTTCCCCAAAAGGCCTCATACCAATAGAGATGTATTCTTTACTTATAAGATCTTCCCCTTAATTAGCCAATGTGGGACTCCCTCCCAACAATCCTCTCCTCGAACAAAGTACACTGTAGAGCCTCCCCAGAGGCCTATGGAGCCCTCGAATAGCCTCCCCTTAATCGAGGCTCGACTCCTTCTCTCGAGTCCTCAAACAAAGTACACCATTTGTTTGACACTTGAGTCACTTTTGACTACACTTTCGAGGCTCACAACTTCTTTGTTCGACACTTGAGGATTCTATTGACATGACTAAGTTAAGGGCATGGCTCTGATACCATGTTAGAAACCACGAACCTCCATAATGGTATGGTATTGTCCACCTTGGGCATAAGCTCTCATAGTTTTGCTTTTGGTTTCCCCAAAAGGCCTCATACCAATGGAGATGTATTCTTTACTTATAAAATCTTCCCGTTAATTAGCCAATGTGAGACTCCCTCCCAACAATCCTGTCCTCGAACAAAGTAACACCATAGAGCCTCCCCTGAGGCCTATGGAGCCATCGAACAACCTCTCCTTAACCGAGGCTCGACTCCTTCTCTGGAGATGTATCTCTTATTTATAAACCCATGATCTTTCCCTTAATTAGCCAATGTGGGATTCCCTCCCAACAATCCTCAACATTTTCTATCTTTTTCTCGTAGAGAGAAACTGCTTTGAGAAGAAAACATGTTGAACGTCAAGATAGCAATCTCAAAAACTCTGGAAGCAAACTTGCATCATCCTTCAACCTCAACCGTGAGCTTTCAGGTCAGATCCTACATATTTTATGGTTTATGGTTATGTGGTGGGATTTTCTAGCTGTCGGGTTATTTTACATTGGTGTTTTCTGAAAGGTTATTTCTTGATTTTATGAGTGCTCCGTCTTCTCAAGATTCACAAAAATGTCTTCTTCAAATTGGAGATCTAAGTGCTAAAGAAGCAGCTCACCAGTCTCCATCAGCATCAAATCAAAATATCCCTGATGAGATACCAGTTACTGAAAAAACGAACAAGATTCGACTTGATCGGATTCAACCACTTTCAGTCGAGGTTCAATGAATTTGTAGTGCAATTTCTTGCTAAGTTCTAGAGCTTGCTTTGAGATTTTGATGGGTGTTTTATTTGTTTTAGAATGATGCAGATAGAAGTAAGGATAATCCATCAGCAATTCCTCTGATGCAAAAGGTTGAGGTTAATAAACCAAAGGTAAATAACACCGTATTAGTTGATAGGATGCGGATTCAGTCACCTCATGCAATCAGACCGTCACCGACCAGTTCAGAAGAAAATTTGGTCCATACTCGAAGCTCAGAGTTATCAAATTCTCCTTCAAAAGGTGAAGAGAAGACTGATGTTAATGAGGGTAAGCCATCCACAACTCCTCTGTTGCAAGAAGTTGGTGTTAATGAACCAAAGGTCAATAACACTGAATTAGTTGAGAGGAAGGGGACACAGCCACCTCGTACAGTCAAACCTTCACCGACCATTCGTTCGGAAGAAAATTTGGTCCATTCTCGAAGCTCAGAGTTATCGAATTCTCCATCAAAAGGTGAAGAGAAGACTGATGCTTCAGAGGCGGCACCATCACGTAGAACTCCCGGGAATGTTAAAAAAGTAATAAGTGCCTTTGAAAGTAGCCTGACTCAGGTATGTTCTGGGTGATACTTTATTATGCTTTATTGCTTGAGTTTGGTATTGTTTGAATAAAATTCTGGCCTTTACATCAGGATACAAAACCTCGCATTAAACCTACCAGAAATGCTCAACCCAATGTGGTCGAAAAGCAACCATCTTCCGAAGTTAATCAATCGAAGGATAATTCTAAGCCGACTCGGTTGCAAACGACAATAGGCCCTCCTCTTGCAGGGGAGTTGACCCATGACTTAGCAAATACCAAGCAAAAGGAACAGAAACGTAAACTCTCTGAGGCTTCAGATGGGACTAAATCACTAAAGTTGAAGGGGAAAAAGAATCAAGTTGGAGAAGAAAATTTGAGTGAAAAGGAGTGTGATGATATAGATGCAAAGAATGATGAATCTTATAAAAAGTCTGTGCCTGAGAAGCCGGACTACGATAGAAATTCAGTAACAGGTGAATCGGTATCACGTGTCGAAGACGAGCAAATTCCATCCAAAAGGTCGGGTGGGTGGATATTTAGAGACGAAAGACGACGGCTGTGTGTCACAACAGGTGGTGATCATATGCTAGATCTGGTGGGAGGAGGTCGCACTAGCTATACATTCATCCGTACAGGGAAAATGAAGATTTCCACGGAAGAGGTAATTCTGGTTTAAACAGCTTCTAGTTTCTTAAAACTAAGGTGAAGAAAGATAGATTCATTGATCTCTATGAAGCCTCTTGAACTTCTTGACAATTGAAAGATCTAAGAAACTTAAATTTCTTGATAATCGATCCCACGTCGATTGGAGAGGGTAACGAACATTCTTTAAAGGGGTGTGGAAACCTCCCCCAGTAGACATGTTTTAAAACCTTGAGGGAAATCCCGAAAGAGAAAGCCCAAAAAGGACAATATCGGCTAGCCCAAGTGGACTCGAGCTGTTACATTAACTCTCTCCATTTTTTAAAGTCTTCTTGACAATCATGCATACTAGGAACTTACTGATGGAGACTTCTTCACATTTTAAAGTACATGCACCCACTATGATGTAAATAACACGATTGACGTGTTCACACTTTAAATGGTCAAGGCCTAGAGTATTTTGCTTATACTATTCTAGATTAAGATGATGTTTTACTGATTATATCAGCAGAATAGAGGTACCTCAGAGGCTAAGGCAAATGGGGGCAACCATGAGCATCAAAAAATGATCAAACCAGAGAATTCAGATGATGTAAAGCCCTCTGGAGGGCCACTTGCCAATGTAATTTCAATCCTCTAAAGCCAGATTAAAGGAAATGGGTATTCCAAATATTGATGTTTTGCTCTCCCAATTCTCTTGTTTAGGCCTTAAAAGTTGGAGTAATGCTTGGATTGGGGACTCTTGTTCTCCTTACTAGACAAAGGAAAAAGAAGGTATAAGCCTGTTATTTGTTATATTTGTCCTCGAATTCCATGTTTTCTGACTGGTTTATAATCTTGAATGCATCGATCTGCTGTCTTTTCTGCACTTTACATTCTCGTCTCGTCACGTGAACATCTCTTTCATCCAAAACGCGTGCATATACACATACCTTCAAGTTGGCATCTAAAACTGAGTCTTCCTTCTTTATTTATGGCCTTGCAGAAATAGCCAGTTGGGTGAAGGATCCACACCAATTGTGTATTCAAGGCGATCGAAGCTGTTATGTTTCTTCTCCCATTCTTTTTTTTTTAAACCACGTGCGTATTAACAAATTTTGATCTTTCTTACAGAATGTCATTGTATAAATTTTGTTCTTAATTTAATATATCAACTTTATATTCTGATGTCTGTAACATCGTTGAGAGAAGAAGATGAATCATTGACATGATATAGTAATTAGTGTTTTATCTACTAAACTATGAACTGATAGACGAAAAAAAAATCCAAATATCTGTAATGCTTCTTTATTAGTCATTTTCAGGTATATTATAGTGTGGCTGCGTGTTGTTGAGGACGATTTCATTCTGATCCAGCTATTCATATGCCTCATGCATGACCGTGCTTCTTTATTAGTCATTTTCAGGTATATTGTAGTGTGGCTACGTGTTGTTGAGGACGATTTCATTCTGATCCAGCCATTCATACGCCTCATGCATGACCGTAACACCTTGCAGCTCGGTAGGTCTCTGTCATCATATTGTATTGCCCTTAATCTCTTCTGCATTCCTTAGTCGTCTAAAATTACAATGTCAAAAATGGATGTATATTTATTTTCTTTTTATAGAAATAGTTTGAAACCCTAATTATAATTAATTTAGACGACGGTAAATTCCGTAACGGATATATTAACGGATACATTTAACGTTGGGGGGCAAAATCGGAATACAAAAAAGTCCACGTTGTGGTTCAGCAAGGCTAGGGCCTCTTATAAATACTCCTTCCTGTGGACTAGGGCGACTTGCAGTGCGGTTGAGCCGCTCGGCCCTCATTAGTTTAAGAATGAGGCTTTGCTCTCGGAGACGGAGGCTCCCTTCGCTACGAATGTTTGTAGAGCCGATGATTTCGACGCTCTACCATTTACTTCTTTCTTTCTCTCTCTCTTTTTGATTATCATCATCTTCTTCTTCTTCTTCTTCATAATTCTGTTGCGTTGGCAGTGATGATTGATCTGAATGTCTATGTACCAGATGTGGAGATGAGCTCTGCGATCCTTCGTCGGGCGTGGCGACTCGGATAGGAGTCTCAGTGGATTCACTTTTCACTCGGACTTTTTGCCGATGTTCGCAGCCACGAATCGTCGCGTTTCTCTTCGTTTCTGAGAAAAGGCGAATCTGAGCCTTCCGTCCTCTACGATTTCGTTTTCATCGATTATCTCCACATCTATCCTTGTGGATTTGAGCCAATAGCTCAGTTGGCGATCGCTTCGTTTTCTATTTCTAGGTTTTATTTTCTGTTTGTTGTTTCTTGTAGCATGATTGCCTCTGTTTATTTCGATCGGCTGATTTCAAACAATGGGATCGATTGGATACTTTCTCTTCCTTCTCCGGCTGAGCCGCTAGGGTTTGTTCGTTTAAGAAGAGGCTTCAAAGGGGAAAGAAGAAAAGATAGGGTTGATTCTTGTTGATAATTCACAGAAAAATCTAGAAATAGAAACAACAGTCGAAAGGAGTGAGATCTTCTGTTCCTATATATTTCAAAGGCTCCATTGATTTTAATTAAAAGCCTTCAACCAAGCTTCCATTGAATGAGCACCGATCGAAATTGTTTTCGTGAACTGATGAGTTTGGTTACCTCGGCAATTTTACTCTTGTTCTTGTTGAAGAGTATGGCCATGATGCACCTCTAAAATGGATCCGGTAGAGTTTATTTGTTTAGCCCGTGGATTCGCCGGAGCCATCCATCACTTTTTACAAGTACCTGATACACATCAATCTTCATTGTCTTGAAGAGCTTGTCGCCGAGGCGTAGGATCACCTCTTTTAAGAGCTTGCACAACATTTACATACTGTGGAGAGCAAGAACATTATTATTAATATCAATCAATCTTCATAGAAAGAAAGCTTCGCAGGTTTGAGCAAGAACATTATTAGTGCCACCTAACTAAATACACTACCTTCAATTCCACAATCTAAATACAACTATTCAATATAAATTGATGATATATAACAGTCAGCTTCTCGCACCACTTCTATCCTATAATTTAACTTTAAATTAGACTAAAATTATTACTCACTAAATATAATCCTTTTTGATCTCGAGTTGCCTATTCAATTAAAAAAATTAGGAAAGGTAAGTTTTAATCAGAACCGTCCAACCAATTTAAAACATTTTGATCCATCGAGGTGTTAAAAATATAAAATTTTCGAAACTAAACTAATAATTTAAAAATGTTTAATAATATTTCGTGCAGCAGACTCTCATAATCTGCTGGCGAGGCGACAGTGGCCTTTCACCCAAAGCCTTCAAATCCACCATCCACGCACCTAACCTTCTAACCGTACGATCCTTCAATTTCACTTCAGAAACCCTTCTCCTCTTCAAATCTGAAGCAGCGTCGTCTCAAATTTCGGTTCCCTTCTCTTCGAACCGGTTGTTTCCGCCATGGTTTCCGATTCTATGTTGCCGGCAGCGGCAAAGCCGACTCCGACGGCAGATCGGGAAGAAGACTCGTCTAGCCCCTCCGCCGCTCTACTCTCTTTCGACACCGATTCCTACTCTTCAAACCCATCTCATAAAACCAGCATTCTCTTCATTTCTCTCACTTTCATCACTTGTATTGCTCTCTCCGCCGCCTTCGCCTTCGCCTTCCTCTTCTTCTCAGGCGCCAACGTCACTTCCACCGCCCGTCCTCTCTCTAAGCTGAAACATCCCGTCGTTCTCTTAATCTCCTCCGATGGCTTTCGATTTGGATATCAATTCAAAACCTCAACCCCTAATATCGATCGTCTGATCGCCAACGGAACCGAGGCCGAGAGGGGTTTGATTCCTGTTTTTCCGACCCTAACATTCCCCAATCATTACTCGATCGTCACTGGCCTTTACCCGCCTCATCACGGCATAATCAACAACTATTTTCTCGATCCGGTCACCGGAGACGCCTTCACCATGGCTAATCACAACCCTAAATGGTGGCTCGGCGAGCCGCTGTGGGAGACGGTGACCAATCAAGGGCTCAAAGCAGCAACCGTATTCTGGGTCGGCTCTGAGGTAAACAAAGGCTCATGGTCTTGCCCTGTAAATTACTGTCATCATTACAATGGTTCGGTTCCATTTGAGGAACGAGTAGATATGATTTTGCAGTATTTTGACTTGCCTAGTGAGGAAATCCCTGTGTTTATGACTCTGTATTTTGAGGACCCGGATCATCAAGGTCACCAGGTTGGGCCTGATGATCCACAAATCACTGATGCCGTAGCTAGAATTGATTTAATGCTTGGGAAACTCATTTCCGGCTTGGAAAAACGAGGGGTTTTTGAGGATGTTAACATAATCTTGGTGGGTGATCATGGAATGGTTGGAACTTGTGATAAGAAACTGATATTTCTTGAGGATTTAGCTTCATGGATTGTGATTCCAGAGAGCTGGGTTCAATCAAGAACTCCTCTACTGGCAATCCGTCCACCTCCCGATGTTTCGCCTTCCGAGGTTGTTTCGAAGATGAACGAGGCTTTGCGATCTGGGAAAGTCGCGAACGGGAATCGTTTGAAAATGTATGTGAAGGAAGAGCTTCCATCTCGGCTTCATTACAGTGCGAGCGATCGGATTCCACCGGTGATCGGGTTGGTTGAAGAAGGATTCAAGGTGGAGGCGAAGAACAGTAAGAGGATGGAGTGTGGAGGAGCTCATGGGTATGACAATGCCATATTTTCCATGAGAAGTATCTTCGTTGGGCATGGCCCTCAGTTTGGAAGGGGGAGGAAAGTCCCATCTTTTGAAAATGTGCAGATATATAACTTGATTACTTCAATTCTCAACATTAAACCTGCTCCTAACAATGGTTCTGCATCGTTTCCCCAATCTATTCTCTTGCCTTCTGCATAGGATCTCGAATCGGCGTACAATAGTGTCGCTTTAACTCGAGCATCGCTGTACGGGATGTTCAAGAATTTGACCACAATGAGTGCGAATCCATCCATTAGCAGTGGTTTATAGCACTAGTTTGTATGTTTTCCATTGTGGTTTGTCGATCAAAAGAACGACAGAGCGAGCTTGTAATCTTTGAACTTTTAAGCTTATGTCGTATGTTGTTCTTCGTATGCAGGGGGTATCCTATTCAAAAACTTTTATCAGTTGATAGATATCTAAAGCAAGTACTCATATCATATCAGTCTCCTTGAGCTGCCTGAGTATTTCAAAAATGCCTTTGCAATATTATCTTTGATCATTCATAATATGGTAGTGTTGATGTTCGGGTTTCTATTAGTAATTTTCTTATCTTTTATCATGAGTTTTTGTAGCGAGTGTTTACATATGTTTTTTTTCGCTAAAAACGCTTTTGTTAATTAATGGGATAATAATAATAATAGTTTTATTTTTAACTAGATGTTATATTATAATTACAATATTATTATTTATTTTCTTAATTTATTTTGGGGGAAAATTGGAGTATAGAGAAAAACGTCTGACCCGAAGGAAGGCCACGTAAATCCATGAACATCACTGGTCACAGATCGAAGGTGCAAGGTTGAAACGGCGTCGTATCTGTTTCCCCGTTGCATTTTTTGTTGCCAATTTTGTACAGTGACGTGTTAGCTTAAATTTGGGGAAAAAATGGCCAATCGGATTGGCCTCAACTTCCACCGGCGGCTTCCAAATCCGATAGGCGCTCCTTCCACCGTATTGTCCGCGAACAGGGCCGCGAATTGCCTTAAACGGTGGAGCGTCGGAGGAAAACCACGGCGGCGTTTGGTTTTAGGCCTCGGAATTTCGTTCTGGTCTCAGTTCATGAATATGTCCGGTTCACTGGTTGGCGCCAAATCCTTCGTGGCTTCTGCGAGACAGAAAAATGCCGTCGATGAGGTAAAATTAACGCTAAAACTTCATTTGAAATTCCGCAATTTGTTTTTTCAGTAAATTGAAAAGCTAATTCGAGGACAACAGAAAGTATATTTTGCATTTTGTGGAGTTCTTCAGTTCTTGTGTGAATTTTTCGTCTGGATTTCTTGATTTCATAAATTTTTCTGAATTTTCGCGTGATTTCTTACGAGTCTGATCCGCCGAATTCCGTTCTTTCTGTGAAGGTTTTGAAGAACGTGGAGTGGCCAGAGCAATTTCCCTTCAGGGAGGAGGATTTTCAGCGCTTTGACGAGTAAGAACTCTGAACTTAAGCAATCTTCATTAGAATTTTGAGTCACATGAGACCTTGATGAAAGCATTTGAACGAACCACAACTATTTCTTAGGACACCAGATTCGGATTTCTATGAATCCCCACGCTTTGTCACGCACATTGATGATCCAGCCATTGCTGCACTCACCAAATTCTACTCCGAGGTTTTTCCCCCAAGCAATACACCTGGTGTTAGCATGTTGGATATGTGTAGCAGTTGGGTAAGCCCATTTCTGGACTTGAATGTTCTTCAATTCTCTTTTCTTGTCTTCATGAACTATGTAAAGAAAGTGTGTGGAAAAGAGCATTTGATCTGATTTTTCGAATCAAGATTTTCTAACCCTGTTATTAGTGGTGAAAATATTCAAAATCTCTCGTTCTTGAGTTTATTGTGTAGGTCAGTCATTTTCCAGCAGGATACAAGCAAGAAAGAGTGGTTGGGATGGGAATGAATGAAGAAGAGCTCAAACGAAACCCGGTTTTTCGATCTCTTCCTTCGATCTTCATTCTGATAAACAATCAGTGTTTAAACTGTTCCTGCAATTCTTCTTCGTTCAGGTTTTGACAGATTACATTGTTCAAGACTTGAATGTGAATCCTAAACTCCCATTTGAAGATAATTCTTTTGATGTGATCACTAACGTGGTATGTGCTTACCTCTGAAGTAGAACCACCATTCATGGTATGTTCTAGCTCTGAAGTAGAATCATTCGTGCAACCCGTGTTGCAGGTCAGCGTCGATTACTTAACAAAGCCTCTTATCATTTTCAAGGAAATGAGTCGAGTTCTTAAACCTGGTGGCATTGCCATTATGAGGTGAGGAGCTTACATAGAAGCCTGAATTCTGTATTGAGTTTCCTCCGATCTCGACATCTTCTAACTTTGTCGTTTATGTTGTAAATCAGCTTTTCGAATCGCTGTTTTTTCACGAAAGCGATCTCTATATGGACATCAACTGGAGATGCAGATCATATTATGATTGTCGGGTCGTATTTCCATTATGCCGGTGGATTCGAACCTCCTCAGGTAGGAGAAACTCATTGAGATATTTCCCATGCTTGAATGACTCACAATTGAGGTATTTTCTACAACTTCTCATTAGGCTGTGGATATATCACCTAACCCCGGACGGTCGGATCCCATGTACGTTGTGTACTCGAGGAAGTTACCGACAGCTTGAAAGTACACGGGAAGAAGATGAGGCAGCTGAACTGAATCAGTTTGACCTGCATATTAGTACATGTAAACTAAGCTTCAAACAAGAATCACTGAAATTGTATTCTTATCTGAGACAAAGGCTATGAATAACCATTTAGGTTCCAAAACTTGGTTGTGCTGTCTGGAAACTCTATAAACATGGGGATAAAGGCATCCTAAACAGAGATGAAAAGGTAACAAAAACAAGATCAGATCCATCCCAGTTTGTAACGACGAAAGAGGTCCTCGGTTTGAGCGTTCTTGAAGGCGCTGCAGCCGATTACATAAACACAAATGAGGATCACCACAGTGACAATGAGAACCACATTGGCTTTCCTCCATTCTTTTCTGAGGTTCCCCAAGAGACCAGCCTTGCAAGAGTTGCAATTGTAGCACAACTGGGTCTGGTCATTGCTCCAAATGTAGCAGTCTGGGTCAGCCATTGGATCACCAGGGTTCAGCCACAGTGTCGGGTTCACGAAGTTATACCCGCAAGCTGTTGGAGGTTTACAGCACCCGGACTGCATGCACACGCAGAGGAAAAACCAAGTAAGACTCCGTTAAACGACTATTTCGATTTTTGTTTCGTGATTGTTTTTCCACCCTTTATCTTTGAATGATGTTAAGAAGTTTAACTTTCGAAAACTAAAAACCAAAAGTCAAATAGTTACTAAACCGAGCCTATTAAGCTCCAACATTAACCAAGCCTAAAGAGGGAGGAGATTTGACCTGCTACCAATAAGGTAAGACCATCACACCACCTTGACAAATATATAGATGGAAAATAGTGATTGAGAGCAATTTGCCATGAAGAAGGAAGTTTAGAGTTCCAACTTTATCTTCTACTTGGATAGAAAGGATTCAACTCTATGATCCGTAAAAGGTGACCCTAGACAGGACGGGTCAAGAGTGTAAAAGAACAAAGTTAACTTACCCGTCCCGCGAGATGCACAATTAATTGAGTCGAGTTTTTGTTAGAGTCAAGAGGGGGTGAAAGAATAAAGTTAACTGACCCGTTTCGTTAGAAACACGATTGATTGAGTCAAGAGTGAGTGTAAAAGAACAAAATTAGCCGGACCTGACCCGTCCCTCTATGCACAACTAATTGAGCCCGACTGTTTGGTAGAGTCAAGAATGAGTGTAAAAGAACAAAGTTAACCAACCTGACCCGTCCTGCTAGATGCACAACTAATTGAGTCCGAGTGTTTGTAGAGTCAAGAATGAGTGTAAAGGAAGAAAGTTAGAGTTGGAAAGTTTTGAAGGAAGAGATTAAACAATTAGTGATTATGGAGTTATTAGTTGGCTCCCACTTCCACAGGCAATCTCAAACCATCTTGAATTTGATGAATCAGTATGGTATCAAAAGGGCCCAATCAAATCTTAGCTGTCTACTTTATAGTTGTGGGAGATTGTTCAAAGATTAAATCCACCTTTTCCCAAAAGAAAAAAAAAAAAAACATAAAAAAATTAATAAAAGAGAATGATTTAGATTCATAAAACTAATTTATTTACCCCTGAAATTAAAATCATAAAACTAATTTTAATAATGAAAATATATTCATTTTAAAAAACACTTAATCTAATTTAGTTTCTATAAATTTAATAAAATTTAGAATTAGCCATAATTTCATCCATAATTTGAAATTAATTTTTACTTCACAAAATAATAGTAATAACTTCACCATTTGATTTTTGAAAAAAAAAAAAAAAAAAAAAAAAAAAAAA